AAAAAAAAAAAACATTGTATAATGTAGATAATACACTAATTCTGTAGTGCAGGCATACAATTTATAAATACATAGAGATACGTATTAGAAGAAAAAAAAATTATTCCATTTTCATCAGTTCTGTTACAGAAGGTTTTAAGTACACTGTAAAACATCTCCCTTCAATTTAAACTTTCAAAAAGTGGGGCTTTTGTGGGTTTGAAGTTTTTATTTGTTGGTTTTGAGCTTTATTAAATTTTACATATTCTTATCAGTATGGTAAAATATACCTCCATTTTTGGCACTTAGGCTGGTCACTATAAGTGGTCCTCCACTAAGCACTCAGAACACAAAAAATGACCGTTCAATTTAGCCACATTACACTAACTTTAGCAAGAAATCTGTAAGTGGGATGGTGGTGATAGGAGTCCACTTGTATTAGAGAACAGATGTGACAAATTTAAAAACCGCCTGGGAGCACTGAGGAATCTGGTTATAAAAAAAAATCTGGTTAAGAAATGCAGGGTCCTCATTTCCTCACCTCACACCAAAAGCTTCCTAGTCAGCCTCCTAGACAGACAGACTAAGCACCTCCAAAGTCCATGCATACACTCCAAGAGAAATCTGTTACGTTTTCTTATCACTGTACCCTAAAACCCTAATATACTAAATCTAAGCTCATTTTCAATTACTTTAATCTTTTAGTAATCAGTAATCCCTAAAACAATTATAATCTTACTTTGCCATTTTCCATGTGGTTTCATATGTGTAACTGCATCATATGCTTAAGCTTTCTGCTATCACCCCCTCTTTTTCCACCCTCTACCCCTTGCCACTCCCCCCCCCCCAACTCACATTGAGGATAGTAACTGTACACTGGAGGTTCAGGTGCTACCTAACACCACACCAGGTACATATTATTTTTAAAAAATAATATAGTGTGGCCCTCCCTGGTGGCGCAGCGGGTTAAAGCACAGCACTGAGAATCTAAAGCTGCTTCCTCATGAGTTCGATTCCCGCCTGCCCCGGAAGTGACCACATGGTGTGGCAGACCTCTCCTGACCCGCCCGCTGCTCCCCTCAGCAGTGTACTTCGTCGATCTGCCTGTTCTGCTCCCCACTCTGTCTCTGGTGAATCCTCTCACCCTCCGCATCTCTGGCCTGTACCCCAGTTCTGTATGAATAAATAAATAAATCTTTAAAAAAAAAAAAATAATATAGTGTTTTGACAAGAAATATTGTGCCCAGTTGGAGTGCACTTTTATTCCAAGATTTAGAACAAATACGTACCCCTCCAGAAAGCCTGTTGAAGATTAGAACTCTCTGGGATGTGCAGAGCAAAAAGGGCAAGTATTCACATTAAAATATTCTGACTAGGCAAGGTCTATATGGCTCAAAGAAGCAAAAAAAGTCTAAAAACTAAAATCTTTAAAGTAACTGTTATGAGTGATCTTAGACTACAGACTGCAAAAGCCTCTAATTTTCTAAAATGATAGCCAGGCTTATCAGCAACAAGTCTGATATAAATGCTACATAGTTCCTTAAAAAAAAAAAAAAAAGTCTTCAAAATTACCCATGATGTGGTCATGGAAGCTATTGGACAAGATAAGACCTTTCAGAAAGCACAGGAAACAATAGAAGAGCAGAATTAAGGTGCTTATGGCTTGCACTGTCAGGGAGTTTCTGCCAATCCTAACCAGTAAGATTTCATAATTAATATGGACTAGTAGTACTGACTGTTTCCCCACCATCCCCTTCTATAAGTACAGCTTTTATTGCTATCATTGTATCCATTTTCCACCATAGTATATCGGGTATGGAGAGAACAGGTAACTCACCTTTGAATTAGAGATCTTTGAGACACAAAAATGCCACTCTGGGATCTGATTACATCCAGAGAACTTGAATTTTCAGTTAGATATAATAACTGTATGAAATTCTTGGTTATCTCTCTTGGAAAGGGGCAAGGAAGTTTTACATATAGGAAAGATAGTACACATGGATATTTGGGTACCCAAAGGAACAGATTCTGGGAAACCCTAAAAAAAAGTAAAATCATCTTCTTGATATTTCATTTTGTAATGTCATGATGTAAAAAAAAAAAAAAGACAACTTTTAATGCATTTTAATGCATTTTTCTTCCAATAAATGTTTTAATTTATAAACAAATAATTTAAGGTATTTACAGTGTTGTAAACCAATATAACCTCAATTAGAAAATTGTGGTTATTTTTTCTAATAATAAATTAAAAAATAAATCTCTTCTCAAGCAAGAGTAGGTGCTATTACTGTCAATAATCATACATCAGGCAAAAATCAAAGTTTCTATTCAATTTCAGCAAAATATACAGTCAATGTCCTATATTGAAAAGGTATAACTTAATAATTAAGTCTGAAGTAACACTGCCTAGACTGGAATCCAAGTTCTCCCACTTTTAGCTATGTGACTTTACATAAGTCATTTAATCTCTATGCCTCAGTTTCTCCACTTGTAAGATGATTTTACATAAATAAATAAATCTTAAAAAAAAGGTAACTCTTACTTAGAGCGATCAAACTTACATGTCCGAAATCATACAACCATCATTCAGAAATTCAATGGAAATGAGCCCCTCGTTTGCTAATTACTCTAAAAAAAAAAAAATGACCCTACAACAATCAAAATAGGTTTTCATGCAAGTGTAAGAATAAATAAAAGGAACAGAGTCCAAAACCAGACCTACATACATATATGACCAACTAATTTTTGATAAAAGTGCCAAGAAAAGTTACTGAAGAAAAAAAGACTTCCCAAGAACGGTACCGAAAACAAATGGTTACCTGTCTGGGGAAAAGTTACCCCTACTTACTAACTCAGATTATACAAAAACAAAAACAAAAACAAAAACAAGAGCTAAATGCAAAAGTTAAAACTATCCACCATAAACTCTTATACTTTTTTACATAGTTTGTATATACTCTAAGTTCCAAATACATGTGGGAGGTGGAGAAGAAAATGTTAAGATAAGCTATGAAGAAATGGGCTCTATTCTTAAAATCTGTACTTGGCACAACCTTCAATAGAGAGACCTGTCCATACTACCTATCCCTCAAGATTTTCAAGTAAGCTAGTATTATTATACTATAAATGCTAGTTATTAAAGTTAGTATTTAGCCACAAAGCAATTTTATAATTTGTCCTTAATGCAATTAATAGTAAGTGGTACTCATTTACTCAAACTCATTACTGATACACGGAGACACAATATTACCTCATTTTTTATCAAAGATTAAAATTCGTTTAGATGACCTAGACCAGCACATCCAATACTTTCTGAAAACAACGAAAATGTTTATGTTATCCAATGTGGCAGTTACTAGACATGTGTGGCTACAGGATATTAAATATGTGGCCAGTGTGACTAAGAAACTGAACTTTTTAACTAAAATAGCCACATGAAGCCAGTGGCTACCATATCAGACAGTTAAGCTTTAGAAGATAAGCCAGCAAAATTCAAAAATATATTTTGGAAAAGGTTTTTGAAATAATGAGGATGAAAAGGATTTCTCATTAGTATTTATATTCTATTTCTACTTAACGGAAAAAAACTGTAATAAAGATAACCATAATATACTATGGTAAGATAATGCAATGATATTTCTGCCACTGTGTGGATAAACAAATAATATTAAAATGTCAGTGACATTCTTAATCTATAGGCCAGTTATAAACCTGAACATTATTAATAGGTACTCTAAATTCTAAAAATTTATGTTGAAGGAGAAATAGAAAGGAAAAAGAAATGCTCTTCTACCCCATGTTCCTGAGCTGCAGTGAAGCATACAAATCTGTTTCATTCTCTCTTTATTCTAAAAAAAATCCTTTGTTTTATATTATAGGAAGACAAAGGGGGGTAAGGGTTGTCAGATGCCTGATTAAGTACGTAATACCATAAATCCTAACACACCAGTGAGGCAAGAAGTCTGCTGGAACAAGTTTTCAAGCTGTTGCCCCTCAGCTCCAATCCACCATTCCTGCTTTTCATTCCGCCTTAGTGATACTGAACCTGGAATACGACAAACTACATTTCTGCTTTGCCGGCTTATTTCCATAAGGTTCTAACAAGAAGGGGCGCCAAAGATGAACTTCACAACTGAAGGTGGAAGAAGATACATATATACTTTTCTTAGGGTTCATATAAGCATTGTCCCAGCAGAGGCTTTTCATGCCTACAGCAGTGCTTCCAGTAGTAGTAATTGTATCCATTTGCAGTTTTTCCCACACTGTGAAAACAGCTTCATCACACCCCACTCAAAAGGGTGACAAGCACTCTTTCCTGAGAGGTCTGAGTCTCAAACCCATGGGATCCCTTTCCTGAACACAGACACCAGCACCAGCCATGCAGTTAGTGCCTTCTACCAAACACAAAGCAATGTGCTGCTCTGGTACTTCCTGGACTCCCTCTGCCTGGAAAGCTCATCTTCCATATACCTAAATATACTGCTCAACCCACCCTTCTTTCAGCTGTCACCTATTCAGTCAAGGTTTCCCTGCTATTTTACCTAAAATAACATACACCCTTATTTTTCCTATCCTCTTTCTCTATTTTCCACCTTAGCCCTTATCACTGTCACTAAAAGAGATTCGTTAATTATCTTGTTTATTAACTGTCCCGTAGCCAGAACGTTAAGCCCTATGATTACTGCATTTTGATTAGCTGTATGCACTGCTATAACCCAGCATTTCAAATAATGCCTGACAACAGATCAGGGGCTCAATACGCTAAGTGAATAAATGATACACCCAGCTCCAACACAGTAATTATACAATTAGGTACAACACCACATATAATTAATAGGTGCTTCCAACAATATTTAATATTCTAGTATGCAAGATTTCAATTAACATATTCCCAAACTGTGCTCTGGGAATTACAGCAATCCCTCAGGGGAAACTGTGAGAACGTGGAAGCCTAAGCAAAAATCCCCCCTTTATCTCTCTTACTCATTGGACTCCACATTAAGACTTTATTTGGAGAAAGGACTTAGCAATTTATACCCGAAACAAGTGGACTGTACAATAAATTAGTTCTACTTTCTAAATAAATGAGGATAACCTAGGAATTATGCTTACATTATCCTTTAGAAAGGTCACATCTAGTCTTATTCTATTTAAAATATATGTTAAAAGCATACTCATTTTAAAAAGGAATGAAAGGCAGTTATATAATTTTATATTTGTAAGAAGCAGAAAGTTAAGCTCCAAATCCATTACCACAAATATCTCTGTAAACAAAAATTATCCCACTCCCAAAAATAGCACTACTTGAAAAAAAACTACAGTATTTTTTTCTGAACCTCATCCTGAAATTTACTCTAACATTACTTAACATATCTTTAAAATGTTACAATTTTCCAATAAAGAGAAAAGCACTTACCTTAACGAAGTTACAGATGGACAAGCCTGTCCATACAAACCCATCTGGCCACAAAGAGAATCTGAAAGAAAAAAAGTCAGTTATCAGATCCTCCAAGGTAAATAAAACTACATATCATGCTACAATTCAAATTAAAATACTCTGGAAAGAGGAGTTAAAAATTCACCATTATATGATAGCCACGTGAATCAAAATGGTATTGAATAAAAGGGATTACCATACTGAGGAAGGCCAATATACCAGAAAGCATAAGAGAAACAAGTACACTGGAACTGCAACATACAACTGAGCTGAAAATTCATAAAATTTAACAAATGGCTATGCTGATATTATACAATGCCCAAACCGTTTAGCAGAACCCCAGGGATTCCAGACGTAGCCTCTGAGCTAAGCATGCAAGGTTTCTGCTGCCACATAATTACATTCCCATATACTCAAGTTTAAAGTATACTATTATCATTAATACTTCATGTGACTCCATTCCTTAAAAAAAAAAGAATGGGGGGGTCCTCCCTGATGGTATAATGGGTTAAAAGCACAGCACTATGATAGCCACAGCATTTTCTGCACAAGTTCGATCCCCAGCCAGGTAGGTAACCCACATGGTGTAGCAGACCTCTCCTGTCTCGCCTGCTGCTCCCCTCAACAGTGTACTTCAATCTGCCTGCTCTGTTCCCCACTGTTTCTGATAAATCCTCTCACCACCCCTGCACGTCTGGCCTATACCCCAGTTCCGTATGCATAAATAAACAAATCTTTTTTAAAAAGAATGGTAGAGAAGGAACTTTAAATAATATATAGATTCAAATTCCAGCTGTGACACTATGAGACCTCATTGAACCTGTTTCTTCATATGTAACTTGGAAGTAACTTTATTCATCAGAGATAAATTGCAGGTTTGTTGTTATAATTACATAGATCATGGAAAAAGTGTCTGTTAGTACTACTACCTGTCACAAGGATGATAAACAAATCTCTGGAAGCAATGTAATGAGGAACTGGAGTTAAGATTAAGTGTATATAAATGCATCCACTGCTTGAGTGGTGATAAGTGAAAACTGTGAGTAAATAAAAAAGATACATTCATTCTGAAAGAATCAGCTGCTTCCCAGTTCTATTATGCTATTGCTAAGTAAGACTGCAATCCCAGTACTGTAAAAACTCCTGATTGTTCAAAAGCAAAATAACAAAATTTTTGTTTCTAATATGAATTTCATTTTTCAAATACTATGTGGCCCAAAACAAAACACTAGATTTTGTCTTAAGTTTATAACCTTTGATTCAGAGGCTGACAGAATTCCCTGCATCTGTCCATGTATGCACTGAAGAGTGACAATATTTCTGTCTGCCAGTATGACAGAACAGATAGTTTGATCAACACGCCAACTAAAAGTAACTAAAACAGACAAAATATTTTTAAATATTTTTATAGGTTAACCAATAACCTGAAAACAAATATGGTGTACTAAGGTCAAAAGAAAAAGAGGGGAACCAGAAAATTACACCGAATACTGAAACCTGCTTTCATTCACCCTCAGGCATTTTGCCAAATACCATGAATTTCAGCTGTCAACTCCAAAGCCTATGGGTCCAAGGTATAAGAGGCAAAGTCCAGCTGTTACCCAAGAGAACTGAAAGAAAAGCTCCTTAACCTTAGCACTGAGTGCTGGTGAGAGGGCAGGGGACTGTCACAGTAGTGCACAGTATCTCGAGTGACAGTCACAACCATAAAACCTTTACCTAGACTACAGTTTCAAAAACTTCATACTTAACAATTTTGTTAAGGCTTATTCTAGAATGGTGGTGTCCTCCCACCCAACTTGACAGAAGCAAATGCAATCCTCTCTGAGGAACCTACCTTTGACCTAGACTAAGACGAACTGCCACAAATAAGGTTCCCAAATAAATGAATTCACAATCAATAATCATAAAACCCAGAAGGAAACAAGTTACTCAGGGTAAAACACAACCACAACATCAGTTAGCTGAATCAAATACTTCAGATGTGGAAATTACTAGACACTAATACTATATCATTATAGATGATTTACCTATATTTTAATTACCTGTATGCAGATTAATCCAAAATCTTTATCTCTAGCAGGGTCAATCTCTTGCCCCCCAGACATACATATCTAACATTCTCTGCTGGAAATCCCAAATCTATTGTGTTCAAAACTGAATTCATCATCTTTAATTTCCTATCTTAATAAAATGTCACAGCCCTTTCATCTTAGAATGGTTTTAGATTTCTAGTTTAACTTAACCATTCTTTTCCTTTGTTATAGAAGAACATTTCTTTCCAATTCTTGATTTCTTTGAGGAATGATTTTTGTAAACACTGTCAGGCTCTTAATCTACTTCGTAACTTTGTTAGTGAGTAGAACTAACTTCAGGACTCTACATCTAGCATTCTACAAGGTACTGTGGTCTGCATACATCTGCTCTAAGATCCCTAACAAACTGGATATTAGGTGGGCAGTCCCATGAACTAGATTAGGTGCATAGGGACAAGAGACTATAGAGCTAGCTTTTTTGGCTCTAAGACCTGAGATACATTCTAAAATATTCTACAATGTATCAACCACCAAAGTAATTCCTCCAAAATTACTATATAATCCAGTAATTCTACTCCCAGGTAAAACTGTATGTGGAAGAGAGAATGTGTGTGTATAAAGTTCTCCTGAGGATACATATAATACACACACACACACACACACACACATACCTGAGAGCTTAAAACTTAAATTTACACAAAAACTTATATGTAAATGTTCACAGCAGTATTATTCATCATAGCCAAAGAGTGGTAATAAACCAAATGCTTTCAACAGGTAGATAACAAAGCAATATAATGTCCACATAACAAAGTGATATATGTACTATTACCCAGTCATAAAAAGGACTGACGTACTATGATATGGTAGCTACTGCATGAATGAACTTTCCCATGTGAAAGACACAAAAGGTCACATATTATATGATTCCACTTATATGAAATGTACAGAATAACAAATCCTGGATAAGGAAAACAGATTAAAGTTTGAAGGAGACTGGGAAAGGGGAGGGGAGAGATGGGGTGGGGTGGGGCAGAAAATGACTGCTAACAGTTTTCTCCCTAGAGTGATGAAAAGTTCTAATTAAATAGCAGTGATAACTACATTGATAATCTTCAGTATAAAGCCAACAAATTATATACCTCTAAAATAGTAAACTTCATGCATGAATTTGTAAAAAAAAAACTAAATTTTAAATGGCAGTATTTCATTTTTTGTTCGTTCTAGCTTTAGCTCTCAAATCCATTCAGAAAACAGACAAGTAAAAACGATCTTATTTACTGATCTTATATATGTATATAGTTAATGTCTCCCAAACATCACCTCAGTAGGACCCCTCATCTGTTACCACTTATTACCAACTTTAGCGTCTAGATATTGTTCTAATCTGCTCTATCCTCAGTGCCTTAAGAGTTTCCGTTTTCTCCACTTTTTATCTTGTTTACTGTCCCTAAGTAGTCATCATGAACCCTGGTTAAATGGAAGAACAAGCATATGCAAATCTCCCTGCCCAGGCAAATGACCTGTGACATGGAAATCTCAAGAGAAAGTTAAGTTCACAGTGAAGTTCGGAAAATCTGAATGTGACCTCCAAATTACATACTCACAACTCTGAAGCCAAGTACAGTTGGAACAACTATATATTAACTCATTTAATTACATCCATAATTCATATAGGTTTGGTTGGGGCCCACTCCATCTTTTTTAAAGATTTATTTACCCAAACAAGAACTGAGGTGTAGACCAGAGGTACAGGGGGAGGGAGGGCTAAAGGATTCACCAGGCAGAGGTGGTAGCAGAACAGGTAAACTGACTAAAACACACTGCTGAGGGGAGCATTGGATGAGAGGTCTGCTGTACCATGTGGGCCATCTCCCTGGCAGGGGATGGAATTTGTGCTGCCAGTGGCTGCCCATAGCTTCATGGTGCTGAAACTTAACCCCTTGCGCCACCAGGGAGGCCTCTTCATCTAGTAGTATTTTCCAAGTCCTTTGAAAATCAACATGCAAGAAAGTTTAAGTACAATAAGTAGGAACCATTCATTTCACTGATGCCTGTGATCCTGTACAGCTACAGTATTCTATCCCATCTCCAGGAAAAGAATATGGAATTCCTTTTAACTTAAGCAGTCTTCAAGTATTTTTTTTTTTAAGATTTATTTATTTATGCATACAGAACTGGGGTACAGGCCAGAGGTGCAGGGGCAGTGAGAGGATTCGCCAGAGATGGAGTGGGGAGCAAAACAGGCTGACTGACGAAGTACACTGCTGAGGGGAGCAGAGGGCAGGTCAGGAGAGGTCTGCCACACCCTGTGGATCACCTCCAGGACTGGGGATTGAACTCGTGCTGAAATGCCTTTAGCTTCTTAGTGCTATGCTTTAACCTGCTGCGCCACCAGGGAGGGCCCTCAAGTACTTATTAAACTCAGTTACAAGCTATTCACATTTAGGATCAGAAGTTTAACAAACTAATATTTGCAAATGCATTACTTGAGAGCAGGAAGTGAAATGGGGCTGAATATTCTGGAAAAGCTCCCAAATAATTCTCATGAGTTCTTTTCTCCTCTAACTCACCCAGAGATAGAATGTTTTATAGTTAACAAAGAATTTACAACATTCAGAACCCAGAGTCAAGATCTTGGTTGAAATCTCAACTCTGACATTTACCATGTGGCCTCTGGATATACTGTTAACTCTTCTAACGCTAAATTTGCTTCCCTATACGAAAGGGCAAATTCAAGCATCATTTTACTCCTGTGACAGGAGACTGAATGAAAGCACCAGTATGTTGGGGGAAAAGAATGAAAAATTTGTTGAAAAATAAGTGTTAATAGTACTAGAGTTAAAAAGAATGTTTTTGTTGTTGTTACTGAACTCAGCCCTATTTTTTAAAAGACTTCGAAGTAATAAATTCCCTAGCAGTCATGAAAGAACCACTCCTTTGATTGAGTTTACCTGACTAAGCATCTGAACATTTTGAATTGTTATACCATTAGTCACTGGTA